TTAAAGACGAAGTGAATCGTGCAAACCAAATGGTATGATTAGTTCTAACTTAGGAGTAACGTTATCAAAATTGGATCGGGTCCACTAGTTTAATTGAAAAATTGAAAATCATTTCGAATATAGGTTTAAAAATCGAAAATTTAAAACTCACTAAAATTATCTAAGAACAAGTAGATTCACAATTAAAATTGTTCAATTTATGACAAAATTATCAAATTTTCACCTTGTTCTAATCAGTTTTAACATCAAAATTGCTTGGAAGAGAGAGAGAGAGAAAAAAAACATTAGTTAAATTAATACCATATTATCTATCAGTAAATGATTATGTACAGGTAACATTAGTCCATTACATATTGTTATGAAAGTAAAAAATAAATTTTATAATAATAATAATTCGAAAGATCGGCTCAAAGTACAGAAGTACTAAAATACAAGTACTTCAATGATAAATCTTGTGTTCTGCTGCCGGCAGTAACCACATAGCATCGGTCAATCTGTGCCTGCCAGATTACAAATCCATTGAAACCATAGATTTTTAAGCGTACAAACACGCTGATTGTGTGAAATCTTAAGTGACCTTTAAAAATGAACAAGGGAAAAGCAGTAATGGGCTCTGGTCGCCGATGGGCTGTGGAATTCACCGATAATTCCAGTTCCCCTTCTTCCCGCGATATCCCGGATCCACCTGGATTCACCCGTGGCGCTCATGACCAGGTTATTTGTGTGATTTGGTGTGTTAATGCCTTTATGGAATTTGTAGAATGAAGAGAATTTTGGGTTTGACTCTTTTGTAATTAGGTTTTATTACTATTGTTTGTAGGATGATTTATCGGTTAGTAAACAAAAGAAGGATGCTGAAGCTAGTTGGAAAGCCCAGGTATTCTTTTTTTCTCTTAATCATTTAATTTGAATCGGTATTATTGCTAGGCTGTACAATTCTAAGTTAGGAATTGGAATTATAGTTTTGACAGACGATGTGTGAGTTAGTGATTGAGCTTTAGTTGTATTCTTTTACCGTTGAAGCTGGATGACGAGTTTGTAAGGGGAGAAAAAAACAGAGAAATAATTGAGGATTATCATCAGGGTTTGGGTAGAAGTGGAACTCTAAGGTTTGAATTTGTGATTTATAGATTAAACCATATGCCATATCCCATTTTTCTACATTTTTTCTTAATTTCTTGGCTGACATTCGTGTTGGATACATGGATGGTTTCTGGAATCCCTATGTCCCTAGTCTGATCAAATACAACTTCTGTTGAATTATTATGTTAATCATATAAAATGTTGCGCGTTTCAAAATTTTTTCCCTTTTTTGTTCTTGTTCACAATCTGACTGACAAATGACAATCTTGGATGAGACGACCTTCATTCTATGCTGATAAGTACCATCAAAAGGCAAAATTGTTAATTATTTTTTACTCTGTTCTTTATGGAAAGAGTTTTTACAAAAAAAAAAAAAAAAGAAAGAAAGAAAAAATATTTCTTTTCTTTTTCCATAAACTTCAACCATATATCATAACTTCCTGTGGCATTATAGTGTCCCAAACTCCGAACTGTTGTTGGAAGAGTTCAAATAGGAAGGACAAGTCTTGACTGTCTCATTAGGGCATTTGAAGGAGACTGACCTTGACTTTGTTTGCTGCTATCAGCCCAAGGGCTGTTTGGCATGGATTTTGAAAAGTCAAAAGGAGTTTTGGAGACCCAAAACCTGCTTTTGTCGATCGTTTGGCAAATTTTATGAAAGTGTCTTTTTGGTTAGAAGAGCTTTTAGAGAAAACTGATCCAATGTGGCTTTCTCTAAAGCACTTTTGGAATAGGAAGTTCTTTTAAAAATTTATTTTCAAACTAAAATTAAGGTAACTTCTTCCAACAGCTTTTCTACAACAAGTAAAAAAGCAAAAGTTATGCCAAAGGGGCCCTAATTATGGGGTTTGGATTGCAGGTTTTCCATCAGCCTATCAAATTACAAGTAGTAAGAAAGATAATTTTATCCTTTTGGCCATTGGTAGATTCAAAGATTCATGGCTTGGTTGTTGGGAGTAGAATCATATTTTTCTAAGGCTATACGAAAATCTACTATATTTGTGATGGAGACATATGCAACTCCTAAAAAACTGGGGACCAGCAGCTGCCATCCACCCCTCATGATCCCAAATGTTTTTGGCTTCTATTCTCAGTTGCTGCTTAAAATTCTTTAGTCTTGGAATCTTTGTCTTTGATATCTATATGGTCGCTGATATTTTTATTTTACGTGAACAGAAAGCATGGGAAGTTGC